ATTAAATTAAGATTGAGAGATATTGAAAATATTTATTTTTCATTCAAAGCACAATAGTCTACATTAGTACTAACATTGTATTCATATTATTAGCCCAAAATTATAAAATTAGCTAGACATTGAATGAAAAGAGCACAATTCAAATTTTATTGCTTGCATAAAAAAGAAAATACAAAAATAAAAGTTATTCTAGATATTACTCGGATAAAAACAAATTCACTATCCACGCTCCTTTCTCCTCTAGATGTTTGATTACTTACAAAAAGATAGGGCTATCAATTCCAAATTGTAGTATCCTTTTCTCTTTGACCTCCCTTAGACTTTACTCTAAGGGGATATAATAACATGGACTAAACTAGATAAAAAGTATGACAAAACTAACTAAAAAAATATTTATAATAAGTACAAAAATGAACTTAGGCACCTCAGTGCTTGACAGGACGGCGCCACGACATTATTGAATGAACACGTAGCTTAGCATAACTATGCTTACGATGATGCATTGACTCAGTGCGTCTGTTGGATGAACCGGTGTGTCGCCTGGCCGATTCGATGTAATGCTATCTTTCGTCGCGCTTGAATGTATAATTTGGCACTGCGTCAAAGTGAAGTTCGGTGCTTTGAAGCATAAATTCTCGAGACTCAAGTGTTGCAACACTAACCTTTGCTTCATCGAGCAATGAATTAATTGTCATTTTTCTTGAGGGTCTGATGCTACGATTTCCTAATCTGGCACCGAGCCATGTGGACTTTGTGGTGCTGGTAGTTAGAGCATTACAACGTTGGTTCAACAATTATTATTTTATTTTCTTTCTTTCTGAGCATTTCCTATACAACATCAACTAAAATTAATATTTTAATTGACATTTAAGATAATAAAATATTATAAAATTTATACTTAAAAAATTAAACTCTTACTTATCCTCAAGCAATGATATAATCACCTATTAATTAGCCAATTAACCTGACTAAAAAATGTATTTAAAATTATTAAACCATAAAAAAAATACTTCACTAATTAGATATAATTTGGAATGATCAAAGTTATGCAACTTTAATTTAAATAATCATAAGCAATTATCCTAATTAATCATCCTTATTATTGCTTAATTTAAACATATTCACTACAAGTGTAAGTGCAATAATGGCTACTAATTTCTAGATATGAATAATGTATCATTTAGAAATTAGTTGTGCTTATAATTAAGTTAGAAATCTATTATTAAACTGTTATCTTTCTTTTGATTTTCATATTTTTTATATTTTTTATCACTTCAATATAAATTATCATGATCCTGAACTATGCTTATATTTTTTTTGACATAAATCACCCACTAAATACTCAAATACATGTGTCAATCAAATAATAAAACAATATCGAGAATAATAACTCCACAAAGAAGTATTATGTTAACATGCAAGTAAACTAATATTGCCTATTATAGCTACAATACTTATCCTATTAAATGAAAAATCAATGTTTCGTTCTATCAACATTAAAAATTATAAAAGAAAAGATCCAAATATTTTTTTTTATAAGACTCTTTTAAGAATTATTACGTCCTCCGACCGGATGCAAAGAAGCATCCGGTCGTAGGCAAAAAAAACTCGGTATCTTGGTATACCGAATTTTTTGAAAAACTCGGTACACCTCGGTACCGCCTTTTTTTTGCCTACAACCGGATGCTTCTTGCATCTGGTCAACCGAACAAAATAAAAACTCCTTTTATTGATGTGGATTAGAATTTATTCATCTCTAGATCTTTTTCGAGCTTATAAGGCTGCAAAAGGAGATCTATAGCCTTCATATAGTATTTTATCTCTATAGAACCTACTAGATTAAACATCCTATATCTAAGCATACAATTATTCCATTTTAATACTTCTATTTATTCTAGTATTTTCTATTGATGTGATGCATTACACTAATTTTTTATTCTAGTATATATTAAATTAAGATCAAGTCATTAGTAATAACATTATATTCATATCATGAGTCCAAAATTAAAGTAACTTAGACATGGAATGCAATAATATAATTCTAATTTCATTATTTGCATAAAAAAGAAAATACATGAGTTTAAATTATTATAGATATCATCTAGATAATGCAAATGCACTCTCCACACTCCTTTCTCCTCCGAATGTTTGATTGCTTATTAAGAGATAGACTATCAATTTCAAATATAGTATCATTCTAAGGAGGCACTACAATCTGGACTAAATCAAATAAAAATTATGACAGATCTATGACAAAACTTATTAAAAACCTAGTTATACTATTATAACATAAAGGGACTCAGGCATCACAATGCTTTGACATGGTGGCATCGCAGCTTTGTAAAATGAATTAATGGCTCAACACTACAAATTTTTATTGGGTCAGTTAACCTGATGTAGAGATACATCACGTACCCAATAAAAAAATATCACATGCACTTTAAACAAAAAGCACTCAGCTTTAAACAAAAAGTGAGCGCATGTGGCATTTTTTTAATAATTACCTGATGTATCTCTACATCAGGTTATCTGACCCAATAAAAAATCCAACAGTACAGGGCTTGCTATGTTGAGACATTGTGCTAACTTGATGCATCTATTAGCTGAATCGATGCATCACTTGACTGATTTTACATGACTCCATCTTTCAACAAATGTTCTATCAAGATGCTGCAAAAGTTGAGCTTTCAAATGTTCTATCACGATGCTGCAAAAGTTGAGCTTTGTGACGCTCGAATGAGCAATCCAACGCTACAACATAATAAAGCTTGCCGCTCCAGCACTCAAATTCATGAGACTAAGATTTTGCATTGCTAAACATGGCTCTATTGGGGGTGCTAAATTAATTATCATTTTTCCTAAGGCTCTCGCAATGCAATTTTCTAATGAGAAGTTGAGGTATTATGGATGTTTTGACATTAATGGTTGGAGCGTTATAGTGTTGATTATTCAACATTTATGATGAACTCTTGTTGAAATTCTCATCACAACATGACAACTTTATTGCATGAGTGGGAGGACCACGATTTTTTTTCTTTACAAGCCTCTCTTTTAAAAACAATTATTACATCCTCCAATCAGACGCAGAGAAACATCCGGTCGGAGGCCAAATCCCGCCAAAAAATGAGTTGTACCAAGCAAATACCGAGCAATACCAAACAATAATAAGGAATACCATTATTTGAAGACCCAATACCGAGTTATACCAAGCTAAATCAAAAAATACCAAGTTATACAAAAATTATATAGAGTTTTTCAACTCAGTATTTCTCAGTACAGCTCAATATAACTCGATATTCGTTTTCAAAGAGCGGTATTTTTTGGCAGAATTTTACCTTACATCAGACATAATAAAAGTTCCTCTTTTAGACCACAAGAGAATGACTTATCCATCCTATTATGGTTCAAAAAACCCTAAACCGTACTTATTAAGTATGATTGAAAGCCTACACACTATTCCATTTGTGGTTATTTTATTCATCCTTCCATCCTTTGACATAAAAACCCACCACAAAACACTGACACATTAAATAAGAGCAAAAGCATAACAAGGGGCCTAGACCCAAATGCCCTGTTCCCATCCATGGGAGCACCCATTCGATCCCAAATCTAACACCTACCAACCCCCTCTTGCAACCCCACATTATTGAAAACACCAATCATCTCTTAGAACTTGCTAATAGTTATATCAACCCCAAATCTCTTAAAGCACATCAATGATAATTCTTCCTCCCATTGGATCATCATGAAAGACTTTAATTGTTGCAAATTTTCTCATAAAAAACCTAGGGGCAATCCTATTCCCATTAATGAATTATGAGAACTTAAATCCCTTTTTTGTGACATTGCTACTAAACAAAATTGCTACTATGGGTCATCAATACACTTGGTGTAACTAGAGGCCTAATAAACAAATCCACATTGAACTTGTTAGACTACTTATTAATGAGGATTGGCTTCAATTGTTCCCTACATCCTTTTACAAAAGAAAGAGCCTAAAATATTCTGACAATTCCCTATATATCCAAAATTCCACACTTATGGGAAATCCTCCTCTATATCTTCTCCCAAACCAGCTTGTAAAATCCCATTTCTAATGTTTTCACCAAGCTAAAAATACTAAGGGTAGCCATTAAAACCCAATATTGGGCCTCTACAAACAGCCTCTTAAATCATAATAAAACCTTAGCTCATGAATATCTTTGAGAAGGCAAAATAACTCTTTTCATAGAGTGGATGAACAAGATCTTCTATGAAAAACTCCACTCAAAACAAAATATAAACTTCATCAAAAAGATCACTCCTTCAAACACTTTTAGCTCCATTGAGATTGCCAAAGCTGTCATTAACCACTTTAAGTCTACATTAACCACCAAGCATTCTCCTCCTCCAATGACTTCCAACTCTTATGGCATCTATTACAGATGAAATCAATCAAACCAACATTTTCTTTGCACCAAAAGCGTCAGGTTTTAATGTTATGAAAGGGAATTTAGTTGGAGATGAATTAATGTATTTTAATATATTATTGTATAAAATGAGTTTTTAAGCTAGAGATGATCTGACCATAGAGGAATTCTAGACTTCAATTAGATCAACAAAACAATTTCTGGAAAATTATCTTACATAATAATATAAAAACAAAATCCTTGAACCTCAAAGAAATCACTCAGATTTGTGTAAACATAACAGGTGAAAATACTAACATAAAATTTAGGACCTTCAAGAAACTATTCTATATGAACTACAGTAGAAGGAATGCATGATGTATAACTGTAGAATAAACAGAGACTGAGAAGAAGGCAACAACAGTTCAGAATGAGTAGGAGAATTTTACTCGCTCAAAGAAAGATCTCAGGCTTATCTTCTGTAATCATCATAACTATAACGCCTTCTTTCCCCCAATAAAATTTCGAAAAACCATTGAAGAATAAAAATCGAAAATTCGTCGAGAAAACCTGCGATAAAAATAGAAAAGATTGAACAGATTGAAAGGGCGTTTCTCTCAGACAAATGCCTCGATTTGTCCACATGGTGAATAGAATGGAATGGCATCGGACTCGTCATCTTTGTGTGTTTGGTCATCATTGAGAAACCCCCTCTCCGAAATCAGGAATTCCATGATCGATAGAAAAAGAGTTTTAAGTGATTGAAAAAATGAAAATAGATATCAAAATTAATATAAGAAAGCGAAGAAAACAAGGAGGGGCTGCCGCATATAGACATGGAGAGAAGCGGCGGCATACAGAGGGCATCCATGGTAAGGAGATTTGTGCAGGCATCTCTTCTGTATTTAAAGACGGAGAGGAAGCTAGGGTTTTTCAAAGGAATGAATTGTTCACCGAACTTACGATCCTACCCTCTTTGTGGAACCTGGGCCGTTTGATCGAAATTGAAGTAAACGGGGCAATAAAATATTTTATTTTAACTATATAGATTTTGAGCATATTAATATTTCATTTTGAAGTAAAACAATTAGGTAAAAATCACATTAATAACTAAAATTAGGTATAGGAGCATACAATAAAAAAATATATGGGCGGATTTAGGGCCCCCATGCCGGATTTAGCACCCCCCTCCCTTTAATTTTATTTTACGCTATTAATTTATTTAACATCTAAAATTTCAATATTATATTCCTGCAACTCATATAAAATTTTAATATCAAATATATCGCTCTTATATTTCATTCTTACCACTTATACCACACTATGAACTTTAATATTTTATTCCATGGACTCATAGTTATTCTATGAGTGGTAAGCAAGTAATATTAAACTTTTTAGTGCTAAATATATAAATAACATTAAATAAAATTGTATGTATGTAAATCCAAAAAAAAAACATCCTTTATGTGTGCCCTCGTTGCCCCTATGGGGTGTCAAAAACTAACCCGACCCGAAAACCCAACCTAAACTCGACCCAAAAAATTTGGGTTCGGGTCAACCCGTTAAAGAAACGAGTCAGGTTCTGCTCTAAATTTTGGACTCATATAGTAATCGGGTAGGGTTCAGGTCAACATGTTAACCCGATGGTGACCCGAAACGGACCCAAGTTAAGAGGCTTTGATAAGCTTTTTTGAGTTTTCTGTTTTTAGATTTTACGTGACTGGCGACTCGTTCAGCAGAGGGTTATCGTTTTAGGGATTTTTTAGTTAGGGTTTCTCCGTTTTCAGTTTGCCGTCTGCGTGTCGGGACTTGGGAGATTAGATTTTCCAGTTTCCATTTTTCATGTCTGAATAAAATGGTTTTATACTTTTCTAGTTTTCAGCCATTACACAAATACACATTGTTGTTGTGATTTATTATGTTGTTATGCTGGACTGTTAGTGTTAACTCTAGATTCTAGAGTGGGGATTAGGGTTTGCATCCTTTGACCGGTTGTTGACTAGCTGTCTAGCTCCTGCAAATAGTGGATCTGGACTTGTTTTATTGTTATAGAATTTGGAGATTAGCGAGTATGAATGTATGATCGGCCTATGACAGTAATCCAATTAGGCTGTGAACTTGTTACTTTGTTAGTTGTTTCCCTGTTGATTGTTGTGAAATTGTGAAGCTACTTTAGTGCTTTAAAAACTGAAATATTTAAATTCTGACCTACAATGTTTTTTGATGCACAATATTACATTATTAGTTTATTAATATACTAATACTATTACTTGTTTAGTAGATTATGTGTTTGTTGATTAAATATTTAAATAGTTAGTAAGTATGTGCATTTTTTGTGTTTAGATGAAGGGTTCTAATACAGTTGTTGACATTAATCATTCTGATCATAATGAGCAAGAGCCTATTGATAATGACGTAGAATGTGATAGTGATGAGTATAACAATGTGGATGTATGTGAAGTTGGTGATAATGCAGTTAGAAATGAAGAAATAAACAAAAAAAAGAGGAGGTTGACCCGTACTGTATGGGGACATTATAAAATATTGCTACTTGGTAATGATGGAAAACAATGTTGCAAATGTAAGAAATGTGGGAGAACTTACCTATCTGATGGTAAAAATGGTACATGTAATCTGAGACGTCACTTCGCTAGTTTCCTTGATGGTTATGTTGGGCTATTAGTTGCCACTTCGCTAGTTGCCTGCCTGCCTAGTTGCTCACTTGGTTTTGTCTTCTGTTGATGGTAGTTTTTTTATTATAATATGACAATGATGAAGAACCTTGTGAATTTATAAAACAGTGGCAATACATAAATAATAACGTTATGCAACCAGATTACAAATTGAGGAAATGAGATTTATTTGATATGAGCAGATAATATTTCATTGAATAGATACTAAAATTATTAAATCAGTATTCCCAATTGGTAATCTTGGAGGGAAAATTTTTGAAATTGTTGCAAACTTGCAGATGATGGTTCTTCAATTTTAACTAGGTTCATTCTGAGCATGGGGCCTTGAGGCCTGAGCCGATGAGCCCTAACGCATTGAGGACCTTAACTCCTTGAGCTTGTGGCTTTTAATTATTTTTTGTTGCATGTTCATTGATTATGTTGACTACTGTGATGTTCAGAATTCAGATGAGATGAATGAGTGAATGACAAAGAAGCTAACTGCTTGAGAAATTATATTTTGTAAATTGTAATGTATTATAGAAAATTTATTTATTTACAATTTGAAAATGTGATAATGCTTTTGTAAATTTTTATGTATTTTTGAAATGTACAGAATTAAACAAATTTTAATTATATTTATTTATTGTTTATTGTTTCATTGCATTTTGAATTTTATAATTTATGCAATTTCTCTCTTTTAATTTTAAAAAAAAATTACAAAAAATCGGGTTGGCGGGTCGGGTCGACCCAACCTTTGTTTAGCCCGGGTCGAGTCTGAGTGCAGCAAGTGGACCCGTATAGCTAAATGGGTCGGGTTCAGGTCGACCCATTTAGCTTCGAGTCAGTTCGGGTTCGACCCGAACCCGACTCATCAACCCAAATTTACAACCCTACTGCTCCTTACTCTCACCATTTTTCTTTACATCTCTCTTTTACCTATATTCTCTCTACTCTCTCTTTCATTTTGTTTTTATAACTAGCAACCTCCTCCACTAGCCTCTCTCTCTCTCTCTCTCTCTCTCTCTCTCTCTCTCTGCCATTATGTTTTTATAACGGCCAAATTTTTGGAAGGAGCTTGTAAGATTTGTAATTTAGGAGAAGAAGCTTGATTGTAAAAGAATTTAAGAAGCGGCGTATACGCTGCATGAGTTGGCGCATTGATAGAATGCGCTACATTAATTGGCGCATTCTTAGAATGCGCGTGATTGCATGGCGTATTCTATAGAATGCGTGGGATAGCTTAGTGTATTTTTTTAATTTCCTAAGATTGCGCCTAATGTTTTGGCGTATTCCAGCCATTCATGATTTTATGGATTCAGTGCAATGGCAGGGGGAAATATTGCCTCAAATTCGATGCATTTTTATTGGATTCAGTGTTCTCGGAATCAGGTTTATTGAATGGGTAAGAAGTTTTATTTGTGTTTGTGATGCTAGCCGTATCCCTCATTATCATACAAATTATCTTCTTATAATTAATAATAATAATAAAACAGTTAAAACCATAATGTCAATTTCAAGCTCAAATGAAAAAGCTTGAGGGTATTTTTAAATACAAAATGTTATGCCTACGTAGATAAAAAATTTTGACTCCGCCACTGAAAAAAGAAGCAAACGATAAAATCTGTTCATTTTCTACCAATGAGATGTTCATTCTAAAAAAATGAGGTTATAAAACAATAAAAAATTATCTCAAACTAAGCCTATAATCTTCATATTCTTAAACATAATTTCTAAGGTTTATATAGTGATGGCTTTCTTAACCTCTGCCTATGAATCTAGTAAATGACAAAAAGGAAAACTTTCTAGACAGGAAGGAAAACTGGAACCTGCAAAAGCTCAGTAGAGTATTGTCCAGCAATAAAAATAGTCTCTTTAACGACCATAACGAAAACAAATTTCCAAATAGTACAGGACGACCCTTAAACCAAACAAGCTTTCTACAACTAAAGAAGCGCAGCGGTAGAATTATTCATAACAAACCAACAAAGACTGCAGACTATGACTTCAATAGATGCTTACACAAATCTAAATCAAAATGACAATAAGTCCCCACACAGGGTAGACAAGGAGCAGAACTATGCCAATGGTGTTGGATATCCCATTGCTCTTTGTGAAGGAATTTCGGAAGCCGCCGGAAGCGCGAATGTGTTCCTGCAGAAGGTAGCAGCCGATGATAAGGCATACGATCACGCCTAATATCCCGCCCCTGACGGTGTGGGCGAAGAAGCCGGGAGCAACAACGAGAAGGATAATTAATGATCCTGGCATCTCCAACCAATCTGCATCACCAACTCCAGATGTAAATTTTGTTACTGGTTTGTTTGGTTCAATGTAAAATGAGTGCATTTGAAGTAGAGACATGCGAAGTAAAAGTGGTGAAATTGAGTGTTATAGGCTTCATTTGGGATGACTTTTTTTTTGCTTTTTAAAGCAGCTTTCTAGTATAAATATTTTAATTTATGTGCTAAAAAGCTATTTTGTGAAGCAATAAGAAAGCCGTCCCAAATGAAGCGTAAACCAAATCAAATAATACAATAGAGCTTCAGAAAACATTTTCTAGGGGATTTGAACCCTTATCGTCTCTTTGGAAGGACAAAATATTCTGTGTGGAGTCCGGACGTCGTCCAGATGCTAGTAAAAATGTGCCACGTCACCCCAAAAGTGAACCGCGCTCGGTACTGAGCACGATACCGAGTTGTACCAAGCATCAGTACCGTCCGGTGTCCGCACATATTAATCTCTGCTTTGGAAGGCTGGGAGCACTATCACAAGTGTTACTGCTTGTTTTTGGTTTTGCAACAACACAGAATCATGAGGATTCGTCCTGCCGTTAAAAGCAATCACTTTCCTCATCTACTTTAGGGTACGGAAGTCTCTTGGGGTTGAAAGCTCAGACTTTCAATGAAATGACGAGTGGAGTCAAACATTCCAATTATGGTGAGAGGAGTAGAGGTTCAATTTAGTTCCAAACTGACCAAAATTTCAAACAGAGCAAATCAAATCAAAAGACAAAATTAAACCATCATTATAACAAACAAAACTGATTGGTTCAGTTTGATTTTAATTTATTTTTTGGTTAAATAATATAAATATGTAGGAACCATTTAGGATTATTTACTATTTTATTGTTATTTTTTTATTTTGTTTATGTCTTGATATGAAATAAAAACATATTTTATATCTTATATGTTAACATTTTTTTAATTTTTACTACAATATAGTTTAATTTCTGCGCGTCACTGCTGGTGGTGGGGGACAGCAGGGTCATGGAGGTGGTGAATTGGGCCAACAGTGGCGATGCTAGTGGCGGGGCGGGCGGGGTGGTGATTGGTCAAGGGCCGACAACGGTTGGCAATTGAGTTGAGGCAACAATGATGGCTACATAATAATGGTGGTTAGTGTTAGCAGATGATGGGTGTGGGGCTAGATTGCATGATACGTGAGGTCAAGTGGCTAAAGGTTTAAATTTTGAAAATAGTAAATCCACTTATAAGTTGTTTTAATTGTTTTTAAAAACAAATTGATTTACTTCAAAAAAAAAAAAAAAATTAAAAGGTATGTTTCTTAAAAACTAAAACAAAAATTGATACCAAAATAAACCCTTAGGAGTTGGTTGGATGGATTCAATTTGATTTGGCTTGATTTTATTTAGTTCTAAATACATTTAGAAGATTTAGCCTAATTTAATATGATATATTTGTTCTAAATTGGTGGATAATTGAAGAAAATATAAAATCTCACAATATTATCAACAAGTTTGGTTTACCATGTTTGTTTTAAATTTAATCTTTAGATTTTGTTTGACTATAATGTTCAACTTCTAGCATTCTAAAATTATATTAAGTTCAATCAGTTTGATTTGGTTGCTTTTGGTTTTATGAAGTTTCAAATTTAAACCAAGCCAAAATAATTTAGTTCGAATAAATGTCAGAAACCTAAACAAAATCAATAAATTTACTTGGTTAATATTTTCAAATTAGCAGAATCTATTGCAAACCCCAGGATGATAGTGCACCCAACTTTATTTCATGTTGTCAGGAGAAAATGACAGACATAAATTTCCTTGCCAATGGAAGTTTAAGGAAGTTAAATCCCATCCTCTCTCCCCATGGGCATGTCCTTCAGCAGTTGCATCCAAAGACCAATTGGGAGCAACTGTTATACCTTCCTACCATCATTTCAAGTATCAACAAAGAAAAAAACTGAACTGAAGAGGTTATTGGAAATCAAAGGAGCTCCGTCAAGTATCAACATGAGAGCCCACTCTCTTCTCTGAATGTCGACATAGGTTGACAAGGCTTTTCTTAAGACGTTCTATTTGAGACCTCTCAAGAAAGATTGTTCGATAATCTAGAGGTTAACATGATTTAGGTTTAACTGGTGGTTAGCATGATTTAGGTTAAACTGAGGGAAGAAAATAGAGAATGATTCAAAGAGTATGAATGATGCTTGCACGTTCACAACATAATAATATTCTATTATGTTGAAGTGCTCCAGTAAGGTAGACTATTGTAGTGCTAAATGTATAAAGAATCACTTGATGGGTTATGTAGGTAACTGAGATAATGTCGGAATGATATGGATAGATTTGGGAACAATGATGCACTAAGGCAGAAGGAGCAGCGGAATTCCCCTCATGAGTGGGCCGCCTATATCCATGGAGAAATTCAATCATGGAGAAGTTCAATTATTCCCTCTGTCCACTCAAATTAGAATACAAGCAAGATTAAAAAGATATCAAGAAAAAAGTTGCCAATAGAAGATAACTACCTTAACGGTTTAGTTGAAAATATAGTCTGTTTCAATTTCACCAATTTCCCACCTCGTGGCGTGCTAAGGGTTCATCCAGATGTTTAAAAGAAAAAAAAGATTCATTTAGATGTTTCCAAAAGGCATTATTAATGTCGAACCTAAACTTGCTATTTTTTAAGAAAAAATGGAGCAAAAACATGCCTAGCCAGAACTCAATAGGTGATTCTAAGAAAGATCCATAGCATTGATAACAATACATGCCTAGCCAGAACTAAAGTTTCAAATATGACGATGTTAAAGTAAGAACAACATCAAGCATGTTAACTATGAAGATAATTGCAAATTTGACAGTTCTTATGAGAGAAATTTTCAGATGGAGAATTTGGAAGTAACCTGGAAAGTGTCGGGGGAAGAAGAGACGCAGCACTACAGCAATAAATGCAATCCATTTTCCAACCTCACCTCTATCAGGAAGAAAATAACTTACTGTTAGAAATTATTAATTAACATAAATAGAAAAGGCAATGTTTACAAGAAAGGCTAAGAAATCACCTCAAAAAAGAAAATATTACAGAGGGAAGACTCAAGAATATGTACGGGACTAGAAGAGCCGTCAGCATATTTGTCTTCCAGTTTGTCCGGTCCAAAATCAACAAATATCTGTAGTTTAAATTTCAGACAAAAAACATAAATATAAATTAATAAACTAATTAGATTCAATTGTAATTATTGCAATAGTAACAGAAGTAGGCATTGGTTAAAAATTTTTTAGGGATTTTTTTACATACAAAACACCTAAAACTATTGAAAATACATATTTAACACCTAAACTTCTATATTTACTAATATACCACATAAAATGTCCCTTTCCTTCTATTCTACCACTTCATTGAAGCGATGAGATACTTGTATTCACTGTGAAAGGATGCCATTGATAGGGAAGATAGTTGCGGATAGATATTTTTGACGGAAGGTTTAAACGGAATGTTAGAATTGACTAAAAGAGGGGTTTTAAGTGTTATATTAGTAAATATAGAAGTTTACGTGTTAAATATGAATTTTCAATAGTTTTAGGTATTATGTATGTAAAAATCCCTAAAATTTATGATGAGCTATAAGTCTGCTGACAGAATCAAAGCTTTACAATGATAATATTGCCTACCTAAACAATTTATGAATTTTAAATATTCTAAGAGCATTTAAAAGATAATTATTGATAAAAGTATAAAACTCTTTATTTTGTTTTCTTTCAACAAAATAGAGCCCAAATTTTCCTCATCAATCATGCAAAGCTTTCGACAGCAGATTATTGCATGGGAAGCAATTGACAAACCAACACATCAAATGGAACTTAGCAAAGAACAATATCTTTGACACGTGAGGTTTATAAGAAAAACAACATATCAATTTAGTATTTATACTGGATTTAATCTTTAAGATTAAAAAGTTACAGCTTCATACGTATTATATCAGTTTGCATTGTCGAGCCAAGAGTAGCATAACCAAAAGGCGATGTTTCAATCTTCCTGCCCTCTGTTCAACCTTATTTAGCATGTAAATAAATTTAAAGCTTGACTGACTGGACAACATTTTAAGCACAATGTGACTAAAATCCAAGTATCAGTGCAAAAAATATGTCATCATCATATATTTAAGCCGAAACCTTGCTATACACTGTTCAATAGCTTATGCATGCTTCTCTATAAATTCAATTATGTTGCACCGATATGGAGACGACTACACGGACACGACACGATGCGGATACGGGACATGTCAATTCTTAAAAATACGGGTACGGCGCGGACATGACATTATAATTTATAAATCATACATAAAAATTAAGAAAACAATCAAAGCATAATATTTAAAATGCCAAAAAAATGAAAGCAATATCATTTGTAGCTTTGTATCTTATAATATCAAAATAAAAATAAGCATTAAATGTATAGTACAACAACAAAAACATATACATAAATTGTCTAGCACATGAAGTTTCAAATATTCAATAGAAGGGATGATAGGATTAGTTTCTTCAGTGGTTTGTCTTTGAACTAAATAAGGTCCCAGGAGAAAAACAAATAAATGAGCATTTACTTTATACAGTGCCAAAAAGAAGCTACAAAAAGGTTCAAAAGGAAATTTTATAACAGCATTTAATAAAGAAAACACCCTATTATGCCCAGCTAAAGAGAAAAAATTAAGTAGGTTGATTTTTTTTTTTTTTTTGAAACAGAATTCAACTTCATGCTCAGCTTACCCAGCATAACAATATTAACTAGCGAGCTTTCAAGCAGTAGACATCCCACAAAATGACCATGCCAGTTAAGATCTAATTGTCACTGTATGTTAGGGAAATTGCTATGAGGAAAGTTATAAATTGCTTTGCATTCCACTTTAGAGGGCGGATTTGTGCATTAACAAGTAGCCATTCACATGATCATATGCATTCATGGCAATGCAGAGGAGACTTCAACTCATGGGACACTTACAATCTCAATTTCCAAAAGCCAGATTTCTTATTAGACGAAGGTAAAACCAAAAGGGTGCAACATTGACAATTTTTCTTTCGCTTATATCATGTTCAGCCACAGTATTCGATTGTTGGTGGAATTGACAGAATTATGGCAACGAAGATTACTGCCACACCGTCCGATTCGGGGGGAGGCGTGGTGTGGTGTGGGGAGAGCACTTACCTTGAACCATAGATTTAAAGGGGTTTTGGTATAACATGACAGCTTGACCTTTAAATATATATTGTTTTGCTTTTAGGTAATTATTTTTTCCTTCTATCACATCAAATCCTGATTCCGCCTCTAGAACCGAACATGTAACTATAATCACAAAATAGCAATTCATGTTCTACCGCAATTTGCAATCATAATTTCTTAGACGAATGCCGGCTTCTGCTCGAAACAACAGCTCATACTCGAGTTAATACCTCCGCCATCGAAAAATCTCGTGTGATTATACAGCTGAGACGAATCCAACGAACGAAAAGTGGTGAAAAAAAATCTAGAAATAGAAGGAAGAATCAGAGCCTCACATCGCGGCGAAGGATGCCAAGAACTTGAGAAAGTAGGTTCCGAAGCCGAGGCTGCTTCCAAGCACGAAGGCATGGTTGGCGAGGTTCTTCGCCGCTGCACCGAGCTCCCGTAGATCAGAATTGATGAGATCGTCGCTCAACTGATCCGTCTTCATCGCTAGGAACCCTAATTTTCCCATCTCAACAGGCTCACAGTTTTCTCACTAGCAAGGCAGAGAAATGATTTATCGGCTCCTTCATGTTCGCGGTGGTTCCACGTATTTAAAAGCAGAGAGACCCGTTCTCTCTCTTATTTACCATTTTGTTTTTTAATTAATTTATTTTAAATGCTGATTACGAAGGCATAACTATGACTATTAATTAATTAAGAGAATTTATCTTAATTAGCCAAATGTCCCAAAAAAAAAAAAATTAGCGAAATACACCCATTTATTACTAATTCATTTGGGGAAGTATAGTTTTTGAGAGAGTGTGGGGATAAATTATTTTGTGCTAAGTTCAGCCTGAGACCAATCAAAATTTGTTATATCATTTTTTTTTGCTCAGTATCAATGCTGGATACCGCTAGATATCGGGTGACGTGACGTGTTCTGATCGGCCTCTGGACCGTCTGGTGCTGGCACAAAATAATTTCTCCAGTGTGGGGGTATTATAAACATATATCTTCCCTTTTTTTGGATATTTGAATCAATTACGATAAATTCACACACACATCACATGTGCAAGACTCAAATTCAAAACCTCGTAATTGATAATGAGAGCTCCCAACAACTACTAATTTTGTTTCTTGTCTTAACCATAAAAAGTTTCTGATAAAAAATGCTCATAAATTCAAATAAATTTATTTTCATTTTCATGAATGAGTTTTCAAAAGAGTAAATTCTTAAGATTTATTATACTTAAAGGCTACACATAATACTCTTACATAAGGATTCTATTTGTATTTCAATTAACTATAAGATAATACCATGTGTTGATTTGTTGACATAATTTTTTTGAAACTGCTTCTTAAAATAGTTTTTTAGTAAAAAATTAAAATATTTATACTAAAAATCTGCTTTAAATAAGAATAAAAAATCATTCCTAATAAAGTCTTAGACTTAGGCTTCGTTTGAAACGGCTTTCTTCTGTTTCTTAAAGCGACTTTTTTAGTACAAAAAATAAAATTTTCGTACTAAAAAGCTGCTTTAAGAAGCATGAAGAAAGCCGTCCTAAAAAAAGCCTTAGTTTGGGGCAGCTTTCTTATTGCTTCTTAAAACAACTTTTTAATAAAAAGTAAAATTTTTAAAACTAAAAAAATGTTTTAATAAGCAATAAAAAAGCTATCACAAATGATACTTTAAGCATAGATCAAAAGGGAGTCACATTTGATTAGTAGCTATTGAGGATATTAATATTGAAAAGAAAAAGGAAAAAAAAAAACTTGTATTTTAAAATATTAAATAAAATTTGAATCATCATAATAGTTCAAACTCTAGAGTCTAGATTAGATCGCCATGCATGGAAGACACGTAGCCCCAGCTTTGTTTTTTTTTCGCTGTAGCGGTAAAGATAAGAACTCTAATATATATTGTTTTTAACATAAGGCAATGGGTTGACAACTGTTCTTATATTTTTATGCTTATTAGCCAATTTTTTTGCTAATAAAAGAATGTGGGGGTTTATCTTATAGGTCGTCGCACAGATCAGAACTTTGTCGATATTCTTATCGGCAAAGGAAAATGAGACAAGATGTGAATTATCCAAAATTTAAATAATTTATAAATAATGACGCGGACGTAGGCTACGTTGGCCACGACGTTGTATGTACCAGCTGTGGTTGACAGGTCTTTCATGGCCAGTTCAGTGATGGGCCTCGGCTCTTCATATTTCAAGTTTAGACTATATATATATATATAAATAATAATAATAATAATAATAATAATATGTTCTAATGTTTATAATTTCTGAAATCAAAATTATTAAGGTAACACAACTCTCCTTGGCCTATTGGTTGAGAGCTTAGGCTTCCAACTAAGAGGTTTAGGGTTCGAGTGATCTATGTGTATGCGTTGTGTGTGTGAGTTTGCCTTAAATGGCCTAAATGTCCCAAAAAAAAATTATTAAGGTATTTAATTGATGTTTATTATGCCACTTGGGGTGGTGCAATTTAGATATTTTTTAAGGGATTGTTTGGTTGGAGGAAAAATGAATGCAGTGTAAAATGATGCATTATTTTTTTTCTATTTAAATGGTTGTTTGGTTAGATAGGATCTGAAGTAAAGTAAAATTCTAATGTATTAGAAACTCAATGATGTAGATCATTTTAAGTGTAAATGAAACCCGCTCGATTTGAGCAAAAAAGGAATTCACGTTGGCGTGAGAGAGAAACCAGTGTTTTGGAGCAGGGAAGTGACGAACATGTTTGTTGAGGATGAATAGATGGATGGTGTGACACCTCCAAATTCAACATCTAGATTGACTTGTTTTGACCTGATTGGAAAAAAACAACATTATGATGAAAAAATATGCGTATGTGATTTACTTTGGGATTTTGTATGTGTCATGTAAAATTCTAGTGCCTATGAGGCATGTTTTGATGGATATAAGCCATATTTTGACACCTATGAGAATGTTCTGATGTTATAAGCATAAAAGGAAGTTATAAGGGTCAGAATCTTTTGAAATTATGTTCGGATCCTGGAAAATAAAAAAAAACTAAAATGAAAATGATATGAACTATTGTGTGATATGAATTTCAATTTATTTAATTGCTCAATTTTAATGTTTAAATATTTGGATAACTGCTAAACTTTTATTAATGCATATTAATTTATTATACTACATTTAACTGCTTTTAAATATTCAGCAAAATACTTCATAAATAAATTTGAAATTTTAGATTGATTTGTCTGATCTATTGAACTGTTGTAGCTCAAAAAGATTTTGCTTCAAGTTTTTCAGGATTTGGGAAAAGAAATGAGCTTATTGATTAGTAGTCAGGACTAATCAGTGTTGACAGGTATTGATTTTGTATAGTCATAGTTAATTTATCATGCAGTTTTGTAGTTTCTATTTGTAGCCAGGGGCGGAACCCCATGGCTGTCAGGAGGGGGCAATTGCCCCCCCTCAAAAATTAATTATATGATTTTTTTAGGTAATTTACCCATTTTTATTTATTTTTTAGTCTTTATTACAAGATTTTTTAGGCAATTGCCCCCCCTAAAAATTTAAAAATACTATGGTCTTTAGGTAATTGCCCCCAACAGGTTGAACCCTGTCAGGGGACACTGCCCCCTTTGACCCCCGACATATATGTCTTATAAGTTTGCCCCCCCCCCCCCCCCTAAAAATTAGGGCTGGTTCCGCCCCTGTTTGTAGCCATATACTATAACGTAGATTCATTTTGATGAAATCAAAGAAATTTTGTGAATGAGTATTTACAATGTTATGGATATTTTAGTAGCTCTCTAATTTTTTATTTATTTAAAATGAATATTGAAAGAAAATTTAAAACATTCCAAAACTAGATCTTAGGATTCACTTATAACAGCTCAACACGATAGGACTTATTACGATCGGGTTGAGTTGCGATAGATGGTAATGTTGCTTCAACTGGAATTGATGACAAAACAAAATCTTGAAGAAGTTCGGGACTTCTTGCGTGAACAGTCTATTGATGCAAACATGCAGGTTTGTGATCCGAACTCAAGCATTATATGTGGGAATTTTGATTTGTCTTTGAGCAATTGTGATGGTCGGATAAAAATTCTGGGAAGAATGTGAATGTGAATGCTAAAGAAGCAAGCATATGTGTAGAATTTCTCATTTTGGCCATACAAAACGATATGGCTACAAGTTTTTCATGCCAAGTGTTTGTTGGAATGCCCTAGGAGTGCCCCTCCAGCTCAGATCTTTCATGCTGACCCTCTAGCATATGTCATTGGACACAATTTTTTTTTTAAATATCATACAATTACACTAATTTTACTTTACACTGCATACACCTAACAAAGTAGAAAAATAGTTCCCCCGCATTTACTTTACAAACAACCAAACAACCTAAAATATTTACTCTATACTGTATTTACTTTACATTGAATTCACTTTACAACCAACCAAACACCCCTAAAAATAAAATAAAATAATTATTAGTTTAGAAATTATTGAGTGATGAAAATTTTATAATGATAGAGCGAAAGTTCTTTATTTTAGAGCTCGAAAAAACTTCCGCACATATAAATACGATAAGTAAATTTTGAATTTATTTGTTCATAATACATGAAATTAGAGAAATATACCCACTGTTTCACTTCTAGGGGAATATGATCGAAAAATTTTTGAGAAGCAAAATACCTGCTCTAGACAGTGGATTGTTTTTTAAGTACACCATATCAAATTTGATCGAATAATATTCAAACAATATTCGATCATCATTGAAATTTTATAACGATAGAGTGAAAGTTCTTTTTTTTTTAGAGCTAAAAAAAACATCTGCATATATAAATAAGTGAAAGTTGAGTTTACATATTCATAATAGTTGAAATTATAGAAATGAACTCCATGTTTCATTTATGAGTGAAATATGTCTGAAAGATTTTTGAGGAATAAAATACATGCTCTAAACATTGGACTATTTTTTTTTAAGTACACCATAATTAAATTTGATAGAATCGAATTCAAACAACATTCGATCAAGGTTGAGACAATATGCAATAAGTACATTCAAATTATGATAGAACATTCATCAAAATTTAATTTAAAAATAATTAGTCTTATTAAAAAAAAAACTTTGATAAACCCGAGTAAAATATTATTCAAAAAATTTATAGAATAGTTAAAAACATCATGTTCAAATAAGGTTTATTCAATTTTCGACATAATACAACGTATTCAGAGAGTAATCACAACATATATATAATGCATCAAATTAAACTATAACATGGGTTGCTTAACGATCGATTAAGGTACAAATTGGTTCTGATAGGATAGACACAACAAAGAGCTATTGCAATATATATAACATAATAAATCTAGTCACAATACAACCAAGTATTTTATATAACTCATGAAAATAGCAAGTAGTATATCATTGTACACACACTTAGTAGTGTTATTTTAAGAATTATATTTGATCCATAAAAGAAAAAAACTATGTAGGTGATGGACATTTGGTCTTTTAATTAACTCGATTATAGCTTCTAACGATATATCAACTACATCTATGTTTTGATAATATCCTTCTCTTCGTTTAAAAGTCTTCTATTTTTCTTGGGGCTGTCACTCATAGGCTTCACTAAAAGAGGTAATACGACAACTATCATTATTTTATCTAGAATCTCCCAGGTGCATTCCTTTTGAACTGGATATATATTTTTAGGATATGTAGTTAATCATGGTATTGTGATATCAAACATGTGTAATCATCTCTAAGAATCGTTATTGACATTTGGAGAAGATTTCAAAAGGTTTGGAGCTAGTTTAGAGTTTAAATAAAAAAATCTTGAATTAACCCAATTAATTAAATCAATTAAAAAGATTAAACTTGTAAAAAAAATCATAAATAATTCTACGAAAAATCTAAATGGTACAAACACAAAAATATTGAATTCTAAATTAAATCTAACATTTTTTTAAAAAATAGAAACATTTAAAATCTCAAGTAAATCAAAATGTCAAACTTAAAGTCTACTAAATCATTAAAAAATAAGGGAATTTGATAAAACCTAAACAATTCAATAATTAATAAACTCAATCAATCCAAACTAATGAAAAACAATAAATAATGATCAAACTGATTCGTGCCCGATCAAGATGATTTTGTGATGAGGTATCAAAAATAGAAACATTTAAAATCTCAAGTAAATCAAAATGTCAAACTTAAAGTCTACTAAATCATTAAAAAATAAGGGAATTTGATAAAACCTAAACAATTCAATAATTAATAAACTCAATCAATCCAAACTAATGAAAAACAATAAATAATGATCAAACTAAATAACCAAGATAATTGCTGGATAACTCTAGCTTACAAGGCTATTGAATTATTCCCAAAGATGATGAAATAAACTTCATAATCTTGGTTGAACAAAGGCAATTTCCATTCAATTTAAATAATGAAATCAATAATTCAATAATAAATTTTATTAATAAAGTTTGTACACTGGAATGTCTCGAGCTACGAGGATACATGTCCTAAGGAGGCTTTGATCCTCATGCCATTGTAATAACGCCACGAACAGATTGACATAAAAATTGATTAAAAATTAAAGAGAAATAAAAAATCCCAAATAATTTTCATAAAATTATAAAAAACAGTAAACTAATGAATATTTCAATTAGCAACTCTTTTTTCAACACAAAATTAAATAACTCTCCTTAATTGAACAAAAACTTTAAAAAATCATAAAAAATCAAATAAAAAATAGAAAAATATGAAATAAATTTATATGAACTCCTATGATAATCATAAACAAAAGTTTATATTAATTAAAAGCAAAATTAAAATAAAAATAATTTCTCTTTCATAATCCTTTAAAGGCTTAAGTAAAATACTAAAACATTAAAACTCAAACTAAAACTAAACGATCGTAGCTTTAATCAAACATAATATAGGTGCTAGAAAACTTCAAATAATAAAAAATCTTGTACATATCCAAACCACCTAACTTATAGACACACTGTAGATGATTTGTTAGGATAACTGACTCTTACCTTAGGCTGAACAGGTAGTATGTTTTGTTGTGACACAGATACCTTTACTTAGAGGATATTATTAGTATGTTTGTTTAATTTTTGCACTCTAGATGTTAGACCATGCATAATTATTTTTCCACTGGTGCACTTAATTTATTAAATTGTATACACTTGCATTGCACCCATGCATATATTGCATTTATGGTTACATCATATTTTATATTATGAAAAAAAGAGCAAAGTAAAATGAATATTGGCTTGCTTGTAAAAATAAAAAGTCAAGTAGAATGTACCTAGATGATCTAGTATTTCATTGACCTACTTGCGTTGAATGTAAAAGCTTGTGACCATTTTGTCCTATGGATAGGACGATAGCAACATTTGCATCCTAACCCCCATGAGTATTCGCCTTTTGGAGGCCCATAGCCTAATATTGAACATAATAATTAGGGGTGTCAATATTTGACACGACCCGAAAATCCGACTCGAAGCCGACCCAAAAATAACGGATTCGTGTTCAGCAAATCAACCCGAAAACCAGACTCAAAGCCGACTTGAAATTGACACCCTTAAACATAATGGAGTACCTTTCATTCTACAAATGATGAATCATGGTTCCAAAGAATTGCAATTCTAGACATTTGAAGAACTAATTAGAGTGAATCTCTCAACATTAATAGTAGGGTCAATATCTATATGTGAGAAGTATAAAGTCTCGCTGCATATATGATAAGAGCTGACATTATATAATGATCAAATAATGTTCAAATTTTATTCAAATATTACTTATTTGATCCTTATTCCACATAAGATTAACCTATTTAAATAATATTTGAATATTATTCAAACCTTGATTGAATCATATTCCAATCATATTCAAATCTTGTTAAATCATCTTCAAATTATGATCAAATCTTGCTCATCCATATCCAAACCTTATTCCAATCATATTTAAACCATATCAAATCATATTCAAATCTTCTTCCAACATTATTTCAAACTTCATTCTAACCATATTTGACCTATCCTCAAATATTATTCGAATCTTATTAAAACCATCAATAATTTTTTGTATATTTTATTTTTTAAACGCACAGCTTAGGCTTCGATATATTCAATAGGTGAATTATTTGATCCAACGAACAGAATGCAAATATTATTAGGCAGCAAAATTCAACCACAGAGAGAACATAAAGCCAAAGATTTCATCTTTTCACTATTTCAAATCCTACTAGCTCTGTTCCTCAACGGATCTCTTCGGCGCCGCCTCTCGTGAATCAAAAACCTGCAACCTTGACTTGCACCCCAGCTTCCTCCACCCCCACCCTCCTGCCGGCGGCGGTCTCCGCCGCCGCTGCCACCGTCCGCCGGCCTCCCCGCTTCGATCAATCCTCTCAATCGCCCGACGCATACTGGAGCACTCTCGTTCCAGATCCTGCACCCTGTTCTTCATGCTATCCATGCCCAGCCTCAGGAGCTGGTTCTCGTGCGCCGCCACTCGCCACCTCCCTCCCTCGGTGGAGGGCGGCGGCGGCGGCGCTGTCGGTTGATCTTCGTCCTCCGCCGTCAAGATTGTCCCGGCAATCGCCTGCCGCAACTGTAGCTGCTCGAAGAAGAGCACCTGAACCACCGCCCGCAGTGGGAGCCTCTCGTTCTGCGCGGCATGCGTGCATGCTTCGAGGGTCAGCTTTCGGAAGTTCATTACGCCGCATACCTTCTCCTTCTCAGACTCCGTCAGTGCTGGGTGTGCCTGTTCCATTGAAATTACTCGTCAGATAAAATTATAGCATTATTTAATAATTACTATATAAATCTAAATTGACTAAACCAATGAGACATTAAGGGATTAAGTGTCAAGTCAGGTTTTGAGTCAAGCTCGGATGAAATTATTCAGTATGATCATCGAACATCATTCGGAGGCCAATCTGGACGCGCTACATCACTCTTTAACTGTAAACCAACACGGCCTACGGGTGGTATTGCTCATCCCGATTCACTTTCGGACTGTCCGGTGACTGCTCCAAACTCAGGGCTATAAATTTATGCAAGCCTTAACTAAACTTAATAGCTCATGAAGTACATTTAAAAAATATTAATATTAAGTATACATTAAATATATTAATATTTAATTTTAATGGTTAAATTCGAACATTTTAATCATTAAATTTATTAAAATAACTAGCTAATGATTTATTAATTAATAAATTATTAGTTATTATAATCATTTATTAAAATATACTTCCTCTTCTTCTTATACTCAAATTCTCAAAATCATGAAAAAAACAAGTTGTCATATTAAAAAAAAAAAAAAAAAGTTGTCACATGAGCTCACAGGGGAAGCCATTGATAGAGTGTGAAGGAGAAAAGCGAGTTGTGAAGTAAGCACACTAGATGAAGGTATCAATAAAAAAAATAAAAAATAAAAACAACAACAACAACATCAAGCTTTTATCCCACTACGTGGGGTCGGCTACATGAATCTTTTTTCTCCATTGTGTCATATTAAAAGTCAAATTCTCATTTAAATCTAATAAATAAAGGCCATTTCTAATATTTTCTAACCAAGTCTTTTTAAGTCTACCCCTACTTTTCTTAACATAAGTCAAATCTAATTAGTACTCATACTACTCGTCGTCACCAATACTGGGTCTCGGTGTCATCGGTTATTATTGATATGATGCAATTGTGTCATGCGGTATAAGGCAGATCGTCCATTTTTAATGTGACCAAACCATTCTAAGGCTGACTCTCATAATTTTTCTTATATCTGGAAGCTACTCCCAACCTTTTTCACGTATAATGCTCATTTCTTGTATCCTATCTCTAAGGGTAAAGCCACTCATTGTTGAATTTCCCACCTGAGCATCTACCTCCATCTCCTGCCACAGTACTTAACTTAGTATATGCTTTCCTTTAATGGCCAACCATTCGACTCATAAGTCATTGCAAGCCTCACTTACCATCTTATAGAATTTTTCCTTAAGTTTAGGGGTACACATTTCTATCACATAACACAGCCGTGCATTCCTCCACTTCAACCATCCAACTTGGAATTCTGCTATAGTTATTTCTCCATCTATTTCACCATCACCTCTGAACACAATCCAAGAATATCTAAAATATGTAGTTTTTTTTTCTCTTATTTAATGACTTGATCCCAAAGCACAATCTCCCTACAGATCTGATTACTACTAAATTTACACCTCATATATTCTTTTAGATCTACTCAAGCGAAAACCTTGTAGACTCCTAAAGGTCTGACCTCCATATATTAAGTTTTACCTTCAACTCCCTTCTCTAGTCTTATCAACAAAAAGAAATTATTCTCAGCAAAAAGCATACACCTAAGGTACATCCTCTTAATAAAATAAAAAAATAAAAAAGGTACAATTAAGATGTATAACATATATGAGGGAAGAGGGAAGAGGGAGGAAAGCTTGAAAGAGGGCTCATTAAGGGAGACATTTAATATATATTAGGCAAGTGAAGACAAGGTGTTCATTGAGCAAGAGCTTGCGTGGAGAAGAAAATCCATAGATTTAGGTTTCGTTTTGGGGCTGCTTTTGCTCTTTTTAAAATAATGTTTCAGTTACAATAAAATTTTAATTTTTATATCACAAAATATTAGGAGGAAGGAAACCGTTCCCAAACGAGGCCTTAAGCTAAATCCACCAATAGGAAGATTTAGTTAAAATCTTGAAAAACCAAGCGAAAAAATGAGATTTAAGATGTAGTAGAATTTAAGAGTTGTATTTTTTATCATTTTGCATAGGATTTAAGGTTAAATCAATATAAATCCTCACCAAATCTTTTCACAACAAAACTCTCAAATCTAAAAAATATTTGACATAATAGATAAAAATTAAGTCCTAATTAAAACTATTTTCATAAAATTTTAAGACTTAGATATTTAAACAAAATGCAGATAATTCAAGGTGAGAATAAGTGAAAACCTCTTTACTCATATTCTATTAAGGATTAGAGCGTGCAATGAAGTCAATGCCGACTCACGATCGATTCGTAGCTCGATCGATAACAGGCTCGACGAGTTTAGCTTATCGACTCCACGAACGTCTGAACTCGAAAACGATTTTTGAGCTTCGACATCTTAGTCTGAGCTCGAACAAAGCAGTGTTCGACTCGTGAACTCTAGAGGTGGACTGGACGCGGCGCGGTCGCGAGCAGGAAAATGCAATCACAGCGGGAAGTATTGCAAGCTCGACCGTCACGGACATGGACGACGCTTCAGTTCTCAGTCGCAAGCTCGACGACGAGATAGGCCGCTTTGATGACGACGGTCGGCATGCGGGACCGAGGCAGACGATGGTAAGAAAGCTGTGACGATGCGGACAAGATAGCGATACGAAACGAACGGATGCGGAAACTTTATTTAATCATAATATCTATGGTCTAGATGGGTCCAGATGTTTGTCAGTTGTCACCAGAGAGAGGATGGAGAGGTCGTCAGATCAAGTGAATCAATGGTAAAGATTATTGTATGCCATTTAACTGTAGCTTTAGTTACTTTTATAAGTTTATTACAGGAAGGAATATCAAAAATTAGATTTATGAAATATTTTAAAATTAATTTTCAAATTAAAAAAAAAACTTAAGTTGAACTAAAAACTGTCCATGAGCCTTAAGGCCATTACTAGACCTGAATAGAAGATGATCATTTATAGAAGTTTAATCAAATTTAAATCTTAAAATTTAGGAAATTTATAAGATTCTAATACTTTATACTAGTGTTTTAAAATCTGTTAGTTCCGTTCACATGCAACCTCTATGTGGTACAAGAAACCTCTGCTAATACTAACGGAAAAAACGAATCCGAACGTTAAGAACGTCACGTCCAACAGTTAAGTTTTTTTGAACAATCTGGTTCTACTTTCTTCTACAATATTTTTAATAATTTTTAAATAAAAAAACTTTAAATATTAGATTTAAATATTTCTATATTAATTTAAATATCCTGAATGCTTAATTTTAATTTAAAAATTCCAACCAAGCAATTTATAAAAGTTTCATCTTTTTACATGATGTAATATACTCTTTCAAGCTCAAAAGTCAGATAATAAAATTAAAAACATTACCATAAAAAATCTCTCCAAGTGATGTGAGACTAAAAAAACTAAACTCTATGTCTTTTCTTAACTTTTAAGTTTACAACATACACTATCCATTTTTAAGAAATAGATTTTTAAATAATCTTTTTTATGATGTAAATAATATTATTTTTAATTAATAATATCAAATAAATTATATTCTTCATTTATTTTTTATATATTATAAATATTAATATAATGATTTATTTATAATAAATGATCTAATCTAATCTCAATAATTTATAAATGTAAAAAATAATATAGAATTTTAATCATATAATAATATAAATTATATATAAATATATAACATAAATTAAAAATAATTTATATTAAACTTATTAATTAATTTGTAAGTTAATTTTTTGTTAAGTTTAAATTAAAATTATAAATTGAATATTTTTAAATTTAAAATTATATAAGATATTAGTAATGTGTGAATTTAATTTATTTTTTTAATAAAAAATTTCTATTATTATATGATTTTTATATTATCTAAATTTTATTTATTATGTCATACGGTTGGAACTGCCCCCTACCAATTCATTATCCGGTCTGGTTTTCACAATACTACTTATAACCATACAATCCCTTAAATAAAAGATTTAGAAAATCATATTAAAAACTCATTTGATTGCTTTGTAAAAAAAACTTTTTTATTGGGGCATTTAGATTAATTAAGACAAATTTATGCATACATCACATACACAAGGCTCGAATTCAAAACTTTTCAGTTGGTAGCCAAAGCTCTCAACCAACAGACTAAAAATAATAGCGTTATTTTTTTTTTTTTTTGAATTGTAAACTCATTAAATATTTTAGTTATTTTTTCAGAATTTGATAGTATTTTACCCACAAAACAATTAAAAATTAAATCTTATCTTCTAAAATATGATTTATCTTAAAGCAATCAAATGAGTCCTAATAATAGTAGTTAGGATGAAGAGGTTGTTTAGTTGCTAATAGGATACAAAAATTAAATCAAATATAATTTAATAAATCTTTCAAATTAGCATTAACTTAAATTATTAATATTTTGAGTTGAGGTCCGGAAATATTTAAAAGTACATAAAAGAGTTATTTAAAGATGTCTAACATTCATACTAAAAAATCCATCTACCTAATATTTAATAATATAACTTCCCATTTACTCTCTCACTGTAATTTTTCTTTTTTGAAATCCTCAGTAAAAGATGAAGAGATGAGGAAGTCACAAAGAGATTTAACTAAGAAAAGGGCTTTGAAGAAACCATGTGAAGATCACTATAGGATCTCATTATGGGCAGGATTCAACAAAGAAGTGAGGGAGTCGTGATAAGGTATGAGAAACTGGTGTTAAAATGGGGAAATTATTCTGTGCAGTAATCGAGTCGTTTATAGGCTAATTAGAATGTGTCACATCACCCGGTACACAGTGATACACAACACTGATATACAACAAAAAAAATGACTTGGCGCGTCCAAATTTACCTCAGAACGGCATCTGATAACCGCACATAATAATTTCCCCTTAGAAGGCCTTCAATGGCGCAAATATCGTGTGACCGGTTGTTGATAAAAAGCATGAGGAAAGCTGATATTTTTAATGTTATTTAAAATATGAAATGTTATGCAAATAAAAGATGTTGGATGTTAAATATGTATATGTGGATAATGGTTAATATGATGTTGATTTAAAAATTTTAATTAAATTAAAAAAAAATTAAAATCTATTTGTAGCCCAAAATTTATTAAATCCTATACTCCTAAATTGAAGCAGAAAGGCCAAAAGAGTCGTGAAAGAACTCATTTCTGCCTGTAGCGTACCTTTAGATAGACATCGACGGCGCGGTACAGGCCATCGTCGTAAACCCGAGAATGGTCGGGCAGAGCAAGCGCAATGTCGCAGAACTTATCAACCCGAAGGTTAGCATCCGAGGCCACCTCCGCCAGGTAGCCGTCCACCAGCCTCCCCACCGTCAGGAACGGATCGCCGTTTCCAGCCGGCGATCTCTCTTCGTTCTCCGACACATTCTCGGCTGTAATCGCAGAAGACGCCTCTTCAATGAAGTATCGAAGAACCCGTTCCACCGCCTCCACGTCGTACAGCGTCTCTACGAGGTAAGAATAGCTCGGCATCAAGAGATCGTCGAGCGTCGCCTGCTCGAGCTGCGCGGCGATCTTTTTCTCCAATGCCGTTCTAAGCGACTCCGGCGCGTGAAGGATGTTCGCGGTGCGAAGTAAGCCGAAGAGAAACTGGGCGTTGATGAAAACGGAGCTTCTCGCGGGAGAGAGATTGGTGATTATTGTTTCAAGTAGATCTAACTGCGCTGGCTCGGCCGGAGGCGGCGCCGTTTTGAGATTCCGTTTGGATCGCGAGAGCCCGGGGATGGTTCTATTGGCATATGAGACAAGAGACCCCTCTATGAGCTCCGTGCTAGGGTTTCTCTCCTTCATCGCGGATATCACACGCTTGTAGAAAGGTAGATTCAAAATCGTGAGGTCTTCCATCCAGGTAGCCGAGCGGATCCCATTTTTGTGGCGATCTGAAACCGGCCAGCTGAAGAGAGAGCTTACCTCGGTGGCACAGGCGCCAGTGACTATGATGTCGATGCATCGCTGCGCGATGCCGAGATCTTCCGCGAGAGGAAGCAGAGTCTCGCAGGTCTTGAGGACTTTCACGGATTGGGAGAGGCTACGGAAGACGGATTGAGTGAGGAATAGCTCCGTACGACTAACGAGGTTATCCTCGGCGAAATCTTCAGTCATCTCGAGGTATTCGGCAGCGCATCGGAGAGGGGCAACGGTGGTTGAGGAGACATCGATCCTGACACCGTAGCAGAACTTGGCCGCAGCTTCGAAGGTTGCCGATACGCCGGGGAAGTCATGGAGCGAGATCCGACGGATGTCGCTTTCATCTATCTCTCCGTCTTCCTCCTCGTGCTCCGGTTCCGATAGCAGTTCGTGGAGTTTGCGGCTCTTCAACATCAACGGGAACTGACGAAATGAGCTTGATATCAGAGGTTGGAAACAAAAGGGGCAAAAAAAGGATATTAGGGTTTCGGATTCGTGCCGACCTTGTGGAGATGGAAGCTCATGCCATCAACTTCGACGACAACATCGCTAGGCAAGCCGGTGGTGCAGAACCTGGAAGAAGAGGATGAACAGATTTCTCAAGTCGACGCTGAGAGGAAGAGGAAGAAGGTGAAAATGATCGATGAGCTTACCATGCTTGACTTCCTGTAACGCACTTCTCGCCCGCCATTCCTCGACTTCTTCTTCCCTTTTAAGGTTCCGCTTTAGTTTTTTTCTCGATTTGGTCCATTTTTGCACCACCGGAGAGTATTGATGCCCGGGCGGTGGACGGGCGACAGGAGGGATTTGAGCAATTTCTGCTCTTAAAAGCCGATTTTTTTTTGCCCACTTTTTTTTTTTTAATTAACTATTCACGCTGAAAAAGTCGAAATGGTCCTTAATAAAAAATAATATTTTAAGGTATTAGTTATTACGCTATGATTAATTAGGATTGCAAACCAGTAGTCCAGCTCGGACTAGGTTTAACTCAGGAGTCGGATCCAGAGTTTGAATTCGAGCTCGAACTCGCGTCAAGTTCAAAAGGAAAGTTGAAGCTCAACTCGCCACTTAAAACAAGCTCGTCTAGCGACTCAATTACACGACTTGCACCAAACAGCAGCTTGCGGACATGATTCGCACGCTGTTCGCACATGCTTATGCCAGCTTTCGATTTCGCATTTGTGTCTCGAACAGCGGTTCGCACGTGCTTCAACCTTTACCTGTCTGAGCCAGCCCCTTGTCATTCTGCCTTTCGTCTTCCTCATTTGATTTTGCGGTTCCTTTTCAGCACTCAGTCAATAGACGAGTAATCGAGTGAAGCCTTTCACAGTTCAAACTCAAGCTTGAAATTCTGCTCGAGTTCAAGCTCGAAACTCAATAAGCTCGACTTGCAACCTCGTTAACGAGTTGAGCTCGAGCCAGCTCACGAGTCGATTTGGCTTGTGACCCATAGAATTAATTCTTTAAAAGAATATCATTAATAGTAAATACTGTATTCATAATAAAACTATCCCTCTAATATTTTGTTCTTTACAAAGTACAAGAGCTTGTAGCTATCGGGCATTGGAAAACTTTATTTTTTTTAATGAAATAAATTTATTTAAATTTTGTATGTTATATTTTTTTTAGTGGGTCAATGGCAGAAATAGTCATAGTTAAAAAATGGCCGTTAATTAATTTTTATCATAATTTTGGGCTTCAATATCTGTGGAAAAAGCAAAAAAGTTCCTATATATCGTGTGAATGATAAAGCAAACCTTTTATCGGGGAAGATTTCCTGTTGAAAAGCAAACTTTTGGAAATATTCATTACAACAAGCGAGGCCTGAAACTGGAAAAGTTATTAGGTCCGGATAAAAAAATGAAAATTTGGACGAATGCGGAGCGATACCGAGTGCTATACCGAGTAGAGTATCGAGCGTCCAAGTGACATGGCGCTTTGTTATTGGTCTCTGAACGCGTTCGGTGTCCGGACACAATAATTACTCTTGAAACTGAATTATACTTGCACCGTTGCGGACCGTTATTTTTTTCTTGTTATACTCCATCTACACTTAATGCCAAGGGGCTATATTATTATTATTATTTTGAAGTAAAGTAAATAATGGTGGTTAGAGATAGCGACGGTGCTGGTTGGCATCAACCGACGATGGTGTCCAAAAGTGAAGGCCAGATGTTACGATGGCGGCGGGCGGAGGTGGCTAGCAAGGGGTGGAAATCCCCTTGAGTTTACGGTTTATTTGGAAACCGCCTAGATCAGAAAAAATTTAAATACACTAAAAATTAATTAGAATTTGATACAATGCATTTACTTTATCTTGAATTTATTTTTCGTCCAACCAAAAATCCAAATTATCAAAAAACCTGAATTTGGATTACTCTACATCCTAAAAGTAGCAAACCAAACAGTCAAGCGCAATGTTTATACTCAACTTTCCCTTTTATCTGAGATGTGGAGCAAATTTTTTTTAAAATAGATATATAGAAATTAATTAAATTATATATATATATATATATATATATATATACCATAAATCACTCTCACTCAGTTATTTATTTCATTTAATTTCCAATTACTTCAATTACAATTTCAGCCAGAATAAAAGCTTCATTTGTAACAGCTTTAGCATTATTTTATAAAACAGTTTTTTAGTACAATTTTTTTTAA